GTCAGTCGTGGCCCGTGGCTCGTCCCTAAAATGGCCCCGCATCATGCGCTGCGCCTAACACGCAGAGCTAATTAAATGCTTTTACTGTAATTTATACTGAGGATAACACGTTCTTCCTACCCCTCTCCCTTAACAAGCATTAAGAAACTCATCATTTTCAGTCTCTGAGTCATTTCCTCCTTCTTGCGTCCAAGTTGTCTGACACACCAAACACCTCGCAGTTTATCCCTCCCGTCACTAGCAAGCCCTTCAGCTCTCTCGCTGCGAGGCAGGCTTTCCCCAGGCCTTCCGCCTTCTACCGCTACGTGCACAACTTGTGCTAAGTCCTCCAGCTCTAGACACGAACACGGGAGGGGCCCACACAACCCATTTTATTTGGAGCTAGCTGGGATTACCAGATGTTTCACAGTGGGGCTCTGGGTCCTCCCCCTGCTAACCGGTGCCTAGTCCATGCTGAAGTCCATGTAGCTACACCTTCACAGAGCTTCATACCTCGGCTGGCCATCTTACAGCCAGCTGGCCTGTACTGCTGTGTCTCTGATTGCTGTGCGTAGGCACCTGGCAGGCAGGTGACTGGCAGGCAGACCAGCACCTGAAGACAAGAGAATAAACATCAGAGGCCGGTCTACTGTGTTACTTCTACCAGTGCCGCTGCCAGTGAAACTGTACAGTAGTAGTACAACAAAACCATGGATTTTTAAGAGAAAATCCCAGTGTAACCACAGTGTAATGTTCACAGTGTGCTTACTTTCATCTTTACTGATTTTACGGTTAAGTCTTTTCTTCCTTTACTGCTGTCCTTGTAAAAAGTTTCCCCTTCTGATCTGCTTGAGAGTAGTTGTAGAAAGCTGTTTCATCTCAATGCTACCGTCAAAAGTGTCAGGTTCTGCTTTGCATGATGTACATGAATTATTCTCTCTTGTATAGTGCCAGAGATTGGTTACATAAACATAAGTAGAGGTCTGTTCCTGCCACTCTTCAGCCACGTAAGAAAGTGCTATTTAATGGAATTACAAAAATTTGGATTCCAAAGAAACAAGGGTAAACAACGCTACCCAAAATGAAAGTTCACGTGAACAGTGATGGCTACTTACTAGTGGCTATTTAGGAGAGAAGAAAGATGGAGCAAAAAGCAGGAGGCAGAGAAGGCAGCGAAGAAGCATCAGACAGATACAATTCATCAGCAGTGAACTACTACTTGGCGCTCATGAGAGCAATTCAATCCATTCACGATGAATTATCTTCAGATTACAACCACAACGTAGGAACAACCATGTTGGGTCAGGCCAAAGGTTCATCTAATTCAATACCCTGACTCTGACAGTCGGCAATGCCGATGCCTACAGAACAGTTACAAGAATAGAATAAGCACGTAGGGGCACTTCCCTGATATGCTTTTTGCCTCAAGGGGTTCATACCACAGCAATTTCCTGAAAGATGGATTCTTTAGGCTTAACAGTTCTTTGCGGATTTTTGTTCTATTAATTTAATTGTTCCTTGAACCCAGGTAAAATTTGGCATCTGTAAGATCTTGTGCTAATGAGTTCCACAATTTAGCTCTGTTCTGTGGAAAAATACATAATTTTGTTTTATTTTGAACTTGCCACTTGAAAATTTCACATCATGCTCCCTTCTTCTGATACTGTGAGACTGTAAACACAAAGATCAAAATATTCATGCCCTCTATGTACTTTGTGATTTTACAGACTCCTGTTGAATCCTCTGTCAGCCATCTCCTTTTTCCAGATGAAGAGTCCTAATCTTTTTAGTCTTAATATAAAAACAGTTCCATACCCGTAAGCATCCTTGATTTAGGATGGGGACATGAACTACACAAAACTCTCAAAATGCAGGTCGCCATATTTACTTTTAATTTGCTTTTTTCCCTCTGTTTCTTTTCCTAACAATGCCTGGTGTTCTGTTTCCTAGTTTGACTGTTCCTGAGCACTAATCTGAACTGATATTTTTACAAGATGTAATTCCAAGATTTCTCTCCTGAAAGGTAATGGGTCATTCATAAGCCATCACCGTTTACATAAATTTAGCATTTTTTTTTTTGCCATGTGCATCATTTAATACTTGCAGACATTGTTATATGTTATTTTGACAACTGTGTACTCAATTTCATAAGGTCCTTCTGCAACTCTTTGCAGATAGCTCTAGTTTGGCTGAACTGTTTAACACCGTTATGCTGAAGGTTTTAATCTCATCAGCAAACTTTGTCCTTTCTCTATTTGCCTCCATTTCCCTACCATTTTCTCAATTGCACAGACTCTCTCTATCTTGTTTCTTATCTTTTAACCAGTTAATGAGAGCAACCATAAAAGCACCTTCCCTATGGGAGCTTATTTTCTGCAAGCCTTTGGTAAGGGACCTTGTCAGGTCCTTTGGAAATCCAAGTCGACCATATCACTTGGACCTCTACTGTCTGCACGTTCACTGAATCCTTCAAAGAAGTTTCTAGATAGGCAGGTAAGGATTTCCTTTCAGAAAAGTCACGCTGAGTCTGCCCCTCAATGTGATATTTATCCATATACCTTTTTGCATTCCTTATTACAGGTTCTACAGTTTCTCCAGACTTACTTCAGTATCCTGAATCCCTCTAGAACAAAAGCTGTTTGAATGCAGTTTGAGGTCTGTTTCCAGACCTCAATTCGCCAGTCTGAAGGGTACTGTGCTGTGAGCCCTTTTTCTAAGTTCAAGTTATCCTCAAGCTACTGCCAACTATTGAGGTACAGAGCAGAATCCATGGCCTGGGATTCAATTCATAATGAAGAAAGAGGAGAAGGAAAGGAAAGGGAAAGGAAAAATGTTATCTGAACTACAGAGCATTTGTGCAAAGCCAAAACACCAAGTTACCTAGGATATATATTAAAAAGAGATCTTTTTATTGATAGTCAAGCTGGCCCTGAACTTGGAAATAAAAATCAGAAAAAGGAGACCAAAACTCAGAGAAGCTACCGAACTTACCTCAAAACTTGCATCTTGCTGCGACACCCCAAAAACTGAAATTGCCATTAGTAAATGTGCCATACAGACGTATTTTTGCAGTGTTGGCTTGCATTGCCTCAATCTAGTTATGCTTCCTCATCTAACACTCCAGAAGTTACAATGCAAGGGACATTGTCTTTATCTTTACCTCTACTGATTCAATCAGTTGTATTGATCCATCACTAATAACGTAAATTTTCTACATTCTGAATATTTCATTTTCATAAAACAAGCCATCGTTCATTTCTACGCTAGATTTTCCATTAATGCAAAGCATTCTGTGAACGCTTGACAGCACTGTTAAACTTTAGAAGTTTTAATGAGTAAGTTTTTCACAGATATGAGAGAATTAGGTAATTTATATGCTTTGAGTCCAAAGTGTTTCCACAAGTTCTAGAGGTTCACAAGGTGAATAGGAGCTGCGATACCCGGGGCCCTAGGGCCAGATTATGTTTGTAGAGTGGGCACAAAAACCTGTGATTAGTATGTTCCATTCCTTTTGCCGGCCTGCACAGCTTCTGTGCAGAAGAGCACAGCATTCCTTCTGCTTGCTGTGGGCTTGTGAGTGGAATTTTTGCAGTAAACCAAAGAGGTTTAAATCGTGCACATTATCCAAACCAGAACTGAATAAACTCACATTCTAGCCACAGAAATATGGGGAACTACCATTGGCAAAATGAAAAGGCTCTATGATATAAAGCCAAATGGGGAATTTTGAAAGAGGCAGCTTGTATAATTCTGTAATTCCGTAAGGAATGAAGGGCAGAAGCCCATAGCTTGATACACTTTCAAAGGTTTCCTCTTATAACTCCGGTCTGCATAAAGAGGATAGGGTGAAGGTGGGTAGAAACCAGGTTTTCCATTTAAGAGCAAGCTGGGATTCTGAGATTTTTTTCCTTGTGAAATGGAATGAAAACTTCCAGTAGTAAAATGTGGGGAAAGCAATTTTGATTCAATCAAAAGGTATCATTTTGACAAAATTTGTGTTTCAGTTTGATTTTGATCTTTGCAAATTTTCAAAGCTTTTTGTAATATAATTTCAATATATTTTGAAATGTGTTCCAAAGCTACTGGGAAAAAAAAAAGTATCTATTTCAAAAATATCAGAATGGTATGTTTTGATCTTTCTGAAATACTTTGCTTCTACTTAGCTTTTGTGATAAAACTCAATCATGCTTAGTTTCTGCAACTGCATGAAAGTGCATTGGCACAAATATTTAAAATAAGGAAACATCAACTTTCATCTAAAATACTCTTCAGGGAAAACCTGTGACCAATTTCAGTCCCAAAACTAAAACCCTTCAGAACAATTAAGATGGTAACTGCAGGACATGATTTCCATATAGCTGCCTTGCAGAACGGGGAATACAGTTGTGGAAAGTTTTTAAAATCCTGAAGTAAGTGAGGGATTTCATCTAAAATACTCTTCAGGGAAAACCTGTGACCAATTTCAGTCCCAAAACTAAAACCTTCAGAACAATTAAGATGGTAACTGCAGGACATGATTTCCATATAGCTGCTTGCAGAACCGGGGAATACAGTTGTGGAAAGTTTTTAAAATCCTGAAGTAAGTGAGGGAAAGAGAAACCTTTGGATGAGAATCAGGTTGGCGGTGTAGAAATTTCCTAACAGAAAAAAAAAAAGAAAAATGTATTATGTAAATATTATACGTAGATATGTGTTCATATATGTACAAAATATTAAGCTAAGATAATTTTTAAAATTATTTTTATTTCAGAGAAGGACAGGTCATTTAGAGTCTTGTCATTTTGGGCTACAACACAATGACAGGAGAAGCTGAAATAATAAGCCTTATACACAGAAAGCGACGGTTGCAATTACTAATCTTCATTTTGGAAAAGGAGAAGGAACAGGATTCTTTGTAGAAACAGAAAGATAAAAGCACAGTGGCCTCTCTTGTAGTCAAAGGCACATGTCACCTCACAGAAGGGCTCAAGTGAGATGCAAGGTTTCAGTGGATGTTATTTTCAGAGAAGCAAGATCTTTTTGTGGCAGCACCTTCTCCTGGCGTTCGTTTCCTCATTTCCATCCTCATGCCATTTTTCCACCTCCTTGGACATGCCAACTCCACTGTGTGAGGGCTCTGCTGTAAAATGGATTAATAGAGTGATCTGGGTTTAAAAAACCCAGATAAAAAGCATGACAGTAGGAAGTAATTTTTGTAGATGCTAAAGGGCGGGCAGCGTCTAAGCTGGCATCCTCACAAAGAGGTAGACTGCATAATTACATTCTCAAAAAGAAACATTAAAAAACAAGAGTTGTGAGAGAAGATAAAGGGGAAAGCAGCCACAGAACACCTGACAACCAGGAAAACACTAAGAAAAAGGCTGAAAGGAAAAGGCCTGCATGTGTGAGGGTAATTGGAACTGAATAAACACAACATCTCCTGCCCTTTCATTCCCACCCACTCAGGGAAACAGCATTTTACACGTTCTTCCTAAATAAGCACTTTGTGAATGTGTCACTTATTTCTGCCCTGAGAGGCAAGAAAAACATTATGCTCTGGGAATTAACCAAGAACAGAGTTTGTTTCCAACATTTCTTCCAGACTTCTGTTTTCTACCTCCTCTCCTCTCCCCTCCTCACAGCCTCCTCAGCAGCAGCGGGGCAGGGTGGGGGCGGTGCGGGGCCCCTCCCCACAGGCCTCTTCCAGAAGGTTCCGGGCCACCACACCTGCCTCACCTCAGTGCTGCCCACCCCATAGCCCTGCCAGAATGGGGCTAGCTTCCTTTGCATTGCAGAAGGTAAAGTGTCAATCATGCTTCTGAAGCAAAGCCTTCAAAAGGCATTTAAAATGAGTTTAGGTGCACCAGAGGTGGGAATGGGGGCGTAGGGAGATGCTGCAGGTGGCAGCAGCACCTCAGAGGCTGAGTCAGCAGCACAGCCCCCCTCGGTTAGCTCCATCTGAGGCTTTAGCACCCGGGCCGCGTGAATCCTGAGTTCTCATCAAAATCAACCCACCCCTTCACCTTTTAAGAGAAGCACCGTGATTCCTCACCAGCCCATTTTCCCCATCCAAGGTAACTCCCAAGATTTCATAACCACTAAGTCACTTTTTTCTCCCCCACTCAGGCCTGCTTAAAAACTGGCAGAAAAGTAAGAGAGTGGAAACACTTGATATTTTGTGCTGTTGTGTTTTTTTCTGGGGCAGGTAAGCAAGTTGAGGATAATTCTTCACATAAGTTCATAGAATCATAGAATCATTTAGGTTGGAAAAGACCTTTAAGATCATCAGGTCCAACCGTTAACCTAGCACTGGCAAGTCCACCACTAAACCACGTCCCTAAGCACCACATCTACAGGTCTTTTAAATACCTCTGGGGTGGTGACTCAACCGCTTCCCTGGGCAGCCTGTTCCAGTGCTTGACAAGCGGCCTCCCAGGCTACAGGCTAAACAAGCCCAGTTCCCTCAGCCGCTCCTCTAAGACTTGTGCTCTTCCCCAGCTTCGTTGCTTTTCTTTGGACACGCAAAGTTAGACGGTTAATGACAAAAGCCACTCAGCAGCACCTGGAAGAGACTCGCTGCT